CCTCCCCGCGCCGCCGGGCGCTGACTCGCCCCTTTCTTCCTCTCCCTCCCTCGCCGCGCTCCGCCGGGCTCCCCCCGCCCCGCCGGCCGCGCCATGGCGGCCCCCAGCACCGTCGTGCCCGTCATGGCGAGTAAGACCAAGACCAAGAAAAAGCACTTCGTGGCGCAGAAAGTGAAGTTGTTCCGGGCGAGCGACCCGCTGCTCAGCGTCCTCATGTGGGGGGTCAACCACTCGGTAAGCGCCGCGGGTGTCACGGCGGGGCGGCGCGGCCGCCCGCGGCGCTCGCAGCCCGGGACGTCGCCGCGCCCCCCGGCGCGGAGGGCGCCCGGCCGCGGGGCTCGGCCGCGGCTCCCGCATCCAGCTCCTGCGGAGGCGGCAAGGAGGAGCGGCGCGCCGGTGGAAGCGGCGCGGAGCTGCGGGAGTTTTCGGTGCCCTCGGTGTCCCCCGGCGGGCTGGTGCGCGGGGGGAGGGGACAGGGCCGCTTGTGGATGCGGGGGAGCGGCCGGGCTGGAGCGGGAGCGCGACCTTCGGCGGGTGCCCCGCGGCGCTGCGGGCTCGGCGCGGGGCTCCCGCCGCCGCAGCGGGACCGGGCCGGGCCGGGCCGGGCCGGGGGGCGCCGAGCCCGGGGCAGCGGCCGCCGTCCTGAGCCGAGAGGGCGCAGCAAAGATGCCCGGAATCAGGCAAGATTCCGCAGGCGAAGATGCCCGGAATCGCGAGTCAGGGCAGCTGTGCCCACAGCTGCCTCTGCTCTCTCATAGTGCAAAGCCTGCACTCCCCAGTGGTGCTTCTGCCTTGCCTGCAGTCGGTACTTAAGAGCATCTAAGAATAACTGTTTGCAGTTTTAGACTCCATTTTTTGACAGGTTCCTTAGCATCAAACTCGATATTCATTTTTTTTTCCCTGTGTCTCTGAGTCCTGTTTGTCTTTCTTTGTGTATGTTTTAGAAGCCTTGGCCCAAAACCTGAAGTCTTGCATCAAGTCTAGTCACTGTTGGATCTGCATGAGGCCACACGGTGCCTGGACTATGATCCAGGGGGGAAATACTTCAGCTATGGGCATCCAAGCAGTATCAATGACAGAGATGCTGCCCCGGGGAGGCTGAATTGTCTGCTTTGAGATAGCCCTGTAAGTCGGTCAAGGATTGTGACACAGAACTTGTTTCAGCTGCAACCAGTGACATCCTGTGTCACGAGCTGATAAGAGGCAAGATATTTATCTACTCAAGAAAAAATTCTCTGCCCGTGGAAGCCTGCGATGTGCTATTTGGGAGAGCTGGGCTTAAGTGCATGAGTGTTTTTTGTTGCCCCTTTAGCGGGACAGAGAAGCAGGGAGCGGAATGACTAGCAGTCTTTATGGAAACCCTGCAAAATAGGTTTCTTGTATGGAAGTAAGGACCCTGGGCATTGCAGGGTAGGATGTTTCCGATGGTAGCGTTGGAGCAGCGAGCAGGCGGGAGCAAGACCCGAGCGGCGCCTGCGCAGAGCCTCTCCGAGGGGCCGGCGGGAGATCCCCCCTGTTGCAGCCCCTGGAGCGGTCGCTACAGTAATGTTCCTTCTGGAAATGTGGCGACTTCCAGGGGAAGGGCCTGGGCCCTCTCGCTGGGGCTGTGCCTGATAGCAAAGTACACAGTAACCAACACAATGCGGGAGTAACTGCGGGGCTCATTTGTTACTAGGGTGCAGAGAGTCCTGCCAATTACAGTGCCCAAGACAGAAACAGGCCGGTTCGAGCCCTTGAGATTAAAAATGGTGAACTGAAATCCTGCTGGGGGGCAAGGAGAAAGTGCACTGATCAAGTAGCTTCACTTAAGTGCACATTTGCATTGTGATTTGTATTATAAAGTGAAATGGTTGCAAGCTTGAATATGTACTGTGTTTTGGAGATGTTCTTTGGTTTCCTTACCCTGCTGCGAGGTGTAATCTTGAATAATACTTTGGGCGTCATGGAGGCAAAACCCTTCTGACTTATCTTTCATGCCCTCTGGGTCAGTCTGATATGGCAAAAAATCTAAATATCTCTTTGTAGCCAAGAATGCAACATTTAAGGACCGTAGGCTCTTCTGTTAGGAGAGGGAGAATAAAAAGAAAGAAAGATGCTTGCACTGTTGGTTTGCAGCGTGCAGGCATTTCAGGCATGTCCGACACTTCAGGATTTGTCCTGCAAATGAAAATGAGCAGTTAGTCTAATTGCAGCGGGCTCGGATATCGCAAATAGGAATTTCTCATGGGAGAAACGCGAAGTACGTGCATGGATTGATTAACAATGGAGGTTAAGGATTTCCTAAGCAGAATAAACAGAAATCCATAAAATGTAGGGCTAGGAATGAGCATAAACATAGTTCATGGTGATAGTAATTCAATAAACTTCGAGCATAGTAGTCATCTGGAGGGAAGGAGGGGAAAAGCTGCWGAAGATCGGTTTCCTGTGCTGTGTGTATCAGCTAACAAGAAAGTAGCAGCTTGAGCCCCAGAACGTCAGCTCAGAATGAACCATACATTGAAAATCCGAATCCGAGACACAGTTCCCATATTTTTAGCACAATATAAAGGAGGAAAGGACTTGGTGAAGATAAGTAGACTTTTCTCCAGGCTTTTTGACTTTTTGAACCTGGGCAGAATGTCGCCACACTTCATAGTTCTGGAGGACTTTCAAATTCTGGGCTGAATATGTGAAGAAACTCTGTATAGGAGAACAGTTCTCTTAACTTTCTTTAACTGTCATCTCCTAGAAGGAAATATGACCTCGGAAAGGAGAATCTAGCAAGTGGAAGCTGCAAAGGGCTTTATAGGAAATGTGCGTTTCTTGAGGAAAAAAAATATCGTCAAAGAGGTGTCTTACCTAAAGCTTTTTTTTTTTTTTTTTTTTTTTTTTAAGCCTTGAAAAGCTGTTGGGAATGGTTTTTGTGGTCTCAATTTTCTTCAGCTCGAAGTAGAGGCATCTAATGCAAATTCCTGCTTGGAATACCCTTCAAAAGTGTTGTTGAGTATGACTGTGGGTAAGGGGGAAACAACATGTAAGCAATGTTCAGATATCTTAAGATGATGAGTGGTCATTTTTAGAGCAATAAACTAGGTTCTTGGGATGCTCCAATATTCTTCTAATGAAACTTTCTATTCAGTGAAAGAGAACAAAATTGTGTCCCATTCTTTAGACGAAATTCTAGCGCTTTGATGACTGCCACAGCAGGAAGGACTAACTGCTGCTGTGCTGGAGTCTTGCAGGCATCTGCATCATTAAGAACTCATCTTATCTTAGTATTTTTCTTTTAATATTTTCTTTTTAATCATGTCAGAGTATTTTTCTTTTTAATCATGTCAGAGGTAATATGTCTGTGAGACTGAAGCAAATGTTGGAGCTCAGCAGTTTGTGTGACTTAAAGCCATATTTCTAGCCATCTACCTAAAGAAAATGCTGTATTTTCAGAGCAATGTGTTACCTTAGGCATGGTAAATACCCTCCTTATTCTTGTCTCTATATTGTCACTGTTGGTGGATTTCCACTGTGGGAAGGAAATGGGGGAAAGAGGATGGCAAATATATATATATATATATGTATGTATATTTTTTTCTGGTGCTTTTGGGAATCATTCTTCCAATCTTGTATTTGCTGCCTTGGTAAACTGAACTGATTATTACTATTACTGATTTCCCTGGGTACATTTACAGTTTACATCGGCAATAAATCTGTTCAGAACCCATTTCTGTTGAAGTCTGTAAGGAAAGCTGGACATGTATAGAGGAGTAGGCTTTGTCCTCCCAGATATAGAAGTATGGGTTTTGCTTGGGTGTTCTTACTGTGCATATATCTGCTTTTTTTTTTTTTCCTTTTGCGTGTTTATTTTTGTAGTTTTGTTTGTTTGTTTTCAGTAAACACTTTGAGGTAAAGAGTGGGCCTCGCCTGATGCATCAATCATTAAATTTAGCAGCAAATGATTCCCCGGTGCAGTTCTCCAGCACACTGTAGAAGTTTAAAAAAAAAAAAAAAAACAGAAAGAAATCCGCACAACTTGGCCTCTAAAATCTGTAATCGCCATCTGTTTCTTGGATGATTACAGGCTGATCTAAAAATTTATCAGTACTCCAGTGGCACTTGCTGCCTAATAATTGAGCGGAACAATAATAGCACATGAATRGAGTGACTTTTTCCTTTTTTTACCCCCCAACATATTTGCAGAATACGTCAAAAAGCATGCGTTTTCCGTGGGTGAAGAATTCCAGAGATTATTGACTCAAAGACCTCCTTCAGCTGCTCTATGAGGCGCTGCGAGCCTGATGCGGCTGCTGCGCGCTCAGCTGTAATCTGGCTTGATCTTTTTAACAAAAGTGGAACAACACAAGGATAACAGTAAAAGGAGTGAAAGCTGTGGAGCTCTTSTGTCTGCCAGTGTAACTGCTGGGCTCGGTTACCCTTTGGTTGTGTGACTAGCACACAACCTAGTCACTAGTGTGACTAGCAAAATGCAACGTTTTTCCCCCATTAATATATCCTGGGATGTGTCTGTCCCATTAGAAAAGCTGTTATGTTTCTGCAGAGATGTAAAGGTTTGTGTTCTTGTAAGTTTTGTTGTTCTTCCCCCTTCTCCCCCAGCTTGTTCAGAATCAACACTTGCCTGTCCCATTTCAAACTCTTTATCTAGACAAATGCACAAAAAATAGCTCCCTTCTTCATGCTTGTCCTTATGTTTTAATAGGACAGCAGAGAGCTTGTTAAGTAAACGTGTATCCTCTTAATTTAAGGCTTCGTAGTACTGACTATCTTCTCTGTTTAGAGTTTCCTGTCTGAAAAACTTKGCTTTTGGAAGACGACGCTGAAAGGGCTCGTTAGGCAAATTGCAGGAAAGACACTGTTGTGCTCTCTGAGATAAAAAGTCTTGACTTACGTTTATAATCRGCTTCCTTAAAAGCCCCTGCCACCAAGAGGCAGCACTGAGACAAATGTAAGTTACAGGAGTCGATTCCTTCTGGGTCCGTGCTTGATACAGGCTTAATCACAAGTCTATAGCGTTGACTCGGGSCATTAGCTGTTCTCAGCACAACAGGCCCATTGGAAACTGTGGAAAGGGCAGGACTGGATGCTCAGCTGGGGGACTACTATTTACATTAGCACAGAACCTCACCATAGCAATTGTGTTCTACCAGTGGCTTTTCAAATGAGTGAGACCAACTCAAATTATTGATATTTCTGAGTGAGATCAAGATGCGCTACCTGTGGGCTTGAGAAACCTTACTGCTTCA